TGAAGGTATGAATAATGGGGTAGGATGGAGGGGGCCAGTGGGTAAAAACATTTAACAGACAAAAAATGAAAATTTATCTGTAGATGATAATATATATGGTAATATCTTTCGCTTCATTGATACGCACTATATTCATGCTGGGAAAAGCCATTTTGTACACTGTAAAGATGTAGAGTGATTATATGTAAATTTATAAAATTTTAAAAAATTAAAAACAACAAAAATGCCAAAGCACTTTTGAAATGTCGAGCATCTCTTCTTAACATCTCAGTGAGAAGATTTATGACCTTATATGAGTGAGGATAATCTTGTTAAGTTCCTAGGACTAGAATGTTTCTTTTCTTTCTGTCCATCTGTCTGTCTGTCTGTCTTTCTTTCTTTCTTTCTTTTTTTGAGAGGATTTTGCTATAGGGGGAGTGTGCTTGCCAGAAAAACAGAGACAGACAGAGAGGCAGAAACCAAGAAATCACCCCCAGGGATGATGGCCACGCTACAATCCCTTCTCCTCCATTCTCCTCTCGGGATCTTGGGCACGCACACACACGCACCAGGTATGAGTTTACGCCACAGGGTCTGGGACTCAAACTGTGGTTGACTACATGGGAGTCCAGTGACATACCCATTATGCCAACTGCTGGTCCCTTTATTCTTTCTTTAATTAAAAAAATACTTCTTTGATTTTATTTGCTATTATTATTATTTTTAAAAATTTGACCAGAGAGAGATAGAGAGAGAGAAAGGGAAAGTGAGAAAGCAAGCTATCAAGTCCAGGACTCTGACCACAGCTGGCATTTGGGAGTCTCGTGCCTTAACTACCACGCCACCTGCCGGCCTCAGCCTAGAATGTTTCTTGTCATTTATTTTAGCTGAAAGTTCAGTCACCCATTCCAACGTTTTAATGTTCATTGACCACTCTGTAAATATGGGGAGACCCTAGAAAATTTTTCTTTTTTTTTTTTTAAAGAATTATTTATTTATTTAATTCCATTTCTTCTTCGTATTATTATTAATTTGACCAGACAGAGACAGAGAGAAAAACGAAAAGTGAGAAAGTGAGCTGTCAGGTCCAGGACTGAACTGCAGTGGGCCATGTGGGAATTCAGCACCTCTAACCACCATGCCACCTGTCAGCCCACTCTAGAAAATTTTCTCATCCTTGGAAAAATATGAGCTTGTTGGGAGACTGACACTGAAAAATAAGATGCCTAGTCCAAGTGCTGTTTGAGAAATTCCTAAAGGATGTCGGGGGTGGGGGGAGGGAGGGGATGCAGCAGTTGGTGTGGAGGTTGAGGTGCTGGACTTGGTGGTCCTGCACATGGTCGACTAGGTTAAAGTCCTGGACTTGGTGGCTTGCTTTCTTACTTTGCCTCTTTCTTTCTGTCTCTCACTGATCAACTTGAAAAATAATAATAAATAAAATCAAATAAATAATTGTTAAAAAAAACAAAAACGGATGAGGGTAGCATAGGAGTCCCAAGGGTTAACTGCCTGTAGGAGGTGGCAAAGACTGGGACTCAACCTTTTCCACTCTCATTTTCTTCCTCTCCCTTCCCTCTTCCAGTCTGTTCCCTTCCTTTGTTCTTTGCTCTGCTGTTTCTCTTTTTCTATTTCTTTCCTTCAGTTTTATTGAGGTGTAATTTACATACTGTAAAACTCATCCATTTTAATGATAGAATTCAATTATTTTTAGTAAATTTACAGTATTGTGCCATCATCACCATAAGTACTTCATTCTGTCTTATTCTGAATTGTATTTTATTCTATTGATATATGAAGAATTTTCAAAAAATTTACAGAAAATATATATTAAGAAAAACTTGGATTTTGAAATTTTTTTGCACCAAATAAACTGTATTTCAGTTCCATTTTTTCATGAAGTCTTTGGAATCTCCTTGTCCATTGGGTTATCCATTCACAAAGGATGGACACAGGTTGTTTCCTTCCAGCATTTGGCTGTTATGAATAATATTGCTCTAAATATTTATGTACAAGTCTTTGTGTGGACATATGTTTTCAGTCTCTCAGGTAGAATCTAAGGAGTGGATTCACTGGGTTGTATGGTAAATTAATGAATTAATGTGTAGCTTTTAGGAAACACCATACTGTTTTCCAGAATGTCCGCAGTGTTTTATAATCCACCAGCATTGAGAATTTTTTTTTTTTTGCACTAAGATTTCTTGAACTGAGTGTTTGAACTGACTTTTAAAGAAGTAGGAGTCAGATCAGTGACTCCCAGATAGTACAGAAGCAAGGCTGACTGTATCAGAACTTCAGAACCAACTGTGTAAGGACTTCTGCCCCCTAGGGTCTGGAGAAAGATATAGGAAAAAATACAGGATGGAGCCTGGGCATGTGCACTTTTAGAAGTTCTCCTTTATGAAAATGTTAACCAAAGTTCTTACAGGAACTTTAGAGTGTGGTTTCCTTTTATTGAAATAACTTCAGCAACTAAAATTAATGGAAGAATCTAGTCAAAATGGAACTAGAGATAATTCATAGATTTTGACACACCAGCAATCACAGTAATGGAGCTGAAGTTTTTTGAAATCATGTTCTCTCCTGAGTATTACATTACTATCAGGTTTGATTTTTCTTTATTCTAATCATCATGTATAAACATCTAGTTATAAAAAAGAAAAGAAAAACTAATAAAATTATTCATTTTGCTTTAAAATAATATTTTGTATTTGTAAATAGTTATAAGCATAAGTGGCTGGATCATATTTGTCATCTTTATATGTACTTAGATGAAAGGTATAAGCACAAAAATAGTATACAGTAAACATTTAAGGTTGTCAAGTGGCTTAAATAGAATCCTTTAGTTTTATTTAGCAGTCATCTGCAAATAGTATATAGTCACACACGAAAAATGATGGCTTAGTCAATAACAGACCACACATACAACAGTGGTCCTATAAAATTATAATGGACTAAGCAATAATGATAGCCTTATCTTGGCCCTGATGACATCATAGCTGTTGTAACATAATAATGTAATACATTATTTATATTTTTGTGATTATACTGGTGTAAGCAATCCAGTTGTACTGCTAATCACATAAAAATATACCACATGTAATTATGTATAGTGCATGTATACCCGATAATCATAATAAATGACTGTTACTAGTTTATATATTTATAGTACCATACTTTGTACTATACTACTATTTTAAAGTGTATTTATTGTACTTAAAATTTTTTTCAGTTTACTATATAAAACTGTTTGACCTGGGGACCAGCAGTTGGTGTAATGGCTATGTCATTGGACTCCCATGTAGTTGACTGTGGTTTGAATCCCGGAACCGGTGGCTTAATCACGCCGGGTACATGTGCGTGCATGTCCAAGATCCCGAGAGGAGAAGGGATTGCAGTGTGGCCATCCCCTCAGTGGGTAATTTCTCGCTTCCAGTCTTTCTGGTGAGCGCATTCACCCTATAGCAAAAACTTCTCCAAACAAAACAGAACAAAACAAAACAAAAAAACACAACAGTATGCCCTGTAACATTGAAAAAAAAAAAAAAAAAAGAAGAAGCTCTCTAAGTGATTGTGACAAGTAGCCTTATTTAGGAATCACTGAGCTGAATGGGCTAGGGGATAGGATGGGCAGGGAGGACATTTTCGGAACATTCTAGGCAGTGGAAACTCCATGTGAAAATCAGAGTGATAAACGTTAGCACTAGGAATGGCCAGAGAGAGACAGAGAGAAGCAAGTTAGATTTTGCATTGGTTGAGACTTAATGAGGAACCAATTAATTCACTGAACTATCCAAAGAGTTTGCTGTGAGAATTTTTTTTTAAAGAATTATTTTTTTAATTATTTAATTTTATTTATTCATTCATTTATTTTAATTTGACCAGAGAGACAGAGAGGGAGGGGGAGAGAAAGTGGGAAAGCAAGCCACCAGGTCCAGGACTTAAACCGTGGTCGGCCATGTGGGAGTGTCCAGCACCTTAACCACCACGCAACCTGCTGGTCCCTGAGAATTTTTTTTTTTTTTTTTGGGAGGGTTTTTCCTTT